ATAATAATATGTGTATGGCATATACACATATTATTATTTTAAAGGCGCAGTAGAAAATAATAATAATAGCGATTATACTATTATAGCAACCTAAACATAGTAATTCTAAAAATATATTACCAATTATAGTAATTATATTAATTATATAATTAATAGTAATATACTAATATTAACGAGATGTTTTTCTAAGCATCTGGTGGTAGGCAATGATAAAATACTATGTAAAAAATAAAAATGCAGACGCCTATGAACGTTATAATATAGCGGTACCTTTGATGTTGGAAATATGCTTACCTAAGCGTCTGGTAACCGATGATAAATTTCTTAGAATTTATTATGCCATAACGACAGACGTTGTTATTGTTCTCATAAAATTCTGACGCCTATGAACGTTATATTATAGTACTGATGTCGGAAATATGCTGACCTAAGCGTCTGGTAGGCAATGAAAAAAATTCTTAGAAAACGTTGTTAGTTTAAGTTGGATTCATCCCCACCCATTACAGGTTAGTTTATGTCAAGATTTATTACCCCCTTCCTATGTAGGAAAAGTTGACGGAGACCCTGTAGCGTTAATATTAAGTAATTGAATTACACTAGTTCAATGTAATGTGTACGCTTATCAATGAACATTATCAGTTCCGTTATCAGTTCACATGAGGTTTACTTTATCTTCTAGTAGACGACACCGTAGAAGGAGACAACCATATGGCTACCTCCCCTCACCAAAGACATTAAGTTATAATGCGCATGCGCACTTTTAACCGCCATTTTGATTGATCTTAACATCCCTACCTAAGTCATCTATTACCTCCACCATTGTGGTATCACGCCTCCTCCTTACCCCCACCATCATAGGACCAAACCTCCCCTTACCCCATCTATGATAAGACCACGCCTTCTCCTTTCCCCCACCATCATAAGACCACGCCACCCTTACCCCCACCCTCATAAATCCAGTCCTTCCTTACCACCACCATCGAAAGACCATGCCCACTGTGTGACCTTGACATTACCCCCACCGGTGGGTGGGTAGGTGAAGGGGTGATGCGGGGGGGGGCTAGAATCCCCTAAATTACCCTACTTATATATTTTTTGTCAATGGGGGGGGGGGGTTGAACCCCCAAAACCCCCCCTTGCGACCGGGCCTGCCTCCCCCAGATCCGCCACCCCTACCACACTGTCTACCACATTGGTCTGACCCAAAGGACCCATCCTTGTAGAACCACCCCTAGACGCACTCCGCAACCTCACCAATATGGAGGGTTTTGGAGACGCATCCAGGGAGGTGGCCGATGTCAGTTCCGTTTCCAGTATCCAGGCTGTCCCTTGCCAATATCCTCCCGGCTATTTCNGCTGTCCATTGCCAATATCCTCCCGGCTATTTCACCGGTGGGAGTGGCTTGGTCACCACCACTCCCTGCAGTCGCAGTACCAACCCCGTGGTTGGCTGCAGGAGCCTGCATCACACTCCTGCATTTACTGTGTATTCGTTTGATAACGACACCTGGTGGGTGCACCCCCCACCAACCGCCGGCACTGGGGCATCCGAATCCCCTGATGCAGTAACCTTTTCCTCCATATGTGCCATTATTCATATATATAAAATAATTTTCTGAGGGGGCTGCCCTCATAGCCAGTTCCTCCGGCCAGTGAGTGGCTAACTACACTGGTTGCGTTGCCATATATCTCCGTTCTCACCCAAACGCTACCGCTTATTCGTCCATAATGGCGTATTTCACGGCTACTCTGTATATCTACAGGGTTAACGAGCATTTGGGCGGCTCGCTGTCCGCGANTTAACAAGCGTTTGGGCGGCTCGCTGTCCGCGACCGCTTATTCGTCAGTCCAAATTAATGGACTGCTTATTTCGCGGCTAACCTGCATATCTGCAGGCCGTTCCTCTATCCGCAACCTGAGGACGCGCCCGATTCCCCGAGCTAGGGAAACTGCGCTCGTGCCGACGTTTCGTAGCCCCGTAGAGCCCGATCACACCGACACTGTAGCGCAGCGCAACGGGGGCTTCTCCTTACCCCCACCCTTATTAATCCACTTCACTATTCCCCCACCATCGAGAAACCACTCCCCACCCCCAGGCCACGCCCACCCACAATTAAATAAATAAATAAAGGTGTTTTAGGGGGTGAGGCGGGGGGAACTAGATTTCCCAATATTACCCTACTCATATTGAAAGGTGTATGGATCAACATTATTTTTTTATGAGAAATAATATTTTTTAATAATCCCTTTTTCATTCGACATACTTTATCTTAATTAGGATATTAATAATGAACTCACAGATCATGTAGCTTTTGGAATAATCCACCAATTTTTTAAAATTAAATACTATCTAAAGATTTGCATCGAAGCGTTTTTTTTTTGATAGTGTATTTAATCACTGTCAGATATCATTATACTTGATCCATCTATGCCACGTTACCACTGTGTTGCGACCCCCCTGTGCTGGGTTTTTTCAATTTTTTTTACTTTACTAAAATTTTTACTTTTTCAAAAATGAACATATCAATATAATTTTTTTTTATATAGATGCATGATATAATTACCTTTCATTTGGTATATATTTTTTTTATATGTGACCCTTTACTTACCCACAGGGGGGGATTTAAAATGACAACTTTTTCACAAAAAATTTATTTTTTCAACTTGATTTTTAAAAATTTCTGGAAGGTCTGACACTTTTATATATATCATAAATTAAAGCTAATGTAATATACTTTATCATGAACAAAATAAATTCGGACTTTATTTGGTCTTCACGGTGAAAATGGCTACCAAATGCTATTTTTGTGTGAAAATTCTCGATTTTATTTTTTACATTTTTAACTTTATAATGCTATAACTTATTGAAAAGTGTATGAATCAACACAATTTTTTTATGAGAAATAATATTTTTTAATAACCCCTTTTCATTCAGGATATTAATAAGGAAATAGGAGATCATGTAGCCTTTGGAATAATCCACCAATTTTTTTTAATTTAACACTATCTAAAGATATGCATCAAAGCGTTTTTTATGATAGTGATTTTAATCACTATCAGATATCATTATACTTGATCCAACTATGCTACGTCACCCCTGTGCTGGGTTTTTTTTATTATAATTGTCAAAATCAATTGTTAAATTCAGGTGAAACTAAAAATAATTTTTTTTAATGATTTATATAGCAATATGTTACCTAAAAATTTGAATGTTATAGATTGGTAGTAGCGCACACAAATAAAGTAAAAAATAGTAGCACAGTAGGGTTGTGGCATAGTATAGACGTGATATAGTTGGGACATGTATAGATGATATCTGACAGTGATTAAAATCACTATCATAAGAAACACCGCGATCCCTGTGCTGAGTTGGTTTTTTTTTTGTCATTTAAATCACTCTGTATTCTTATATTTTTCACATTGTATATAAAATTTTTTTTAAATGCTCTGATTTGACTTATTTCTGCATTAATAGCATGCTCTAACGATGTAGATGTTAAAAACATATCGAACGTAGCGATATTCAACATTTTTTTTTTTTTTTTTTGAAATCATTTATTTTCTTACCTCTCAATTACCTCTACTAATACGATACAATTGCCAAAAAATATTGAGCTTTTCTGCTCATAAATACCATTTTTATAATTCTCATAAAATTTTATTTTTAATGATGTCAATTTCAAACTTCCGAGTTCAACTAAAAGTTATGGTAATTTTATTATGTTTTATATTATTTTATATATTATAGAATTATAAACTTTCACAGAAAACAACTTTAAAGAACCTAAAAAATAGATTAAAAACTATATTTTGCACTGACTATTTTTAACATATTAAAAAATCAAAATCAGTAATAATTTGAAAATTATTTTCATACAGGTAAATACCCATTTTTTAAAAATTAATAATAGTATCTACTCTTAAAATTGATAAAAAAAGTCTAATTGCAGATTTGAAAACAGTACGAAAAGTTGATTTAATGAAGTATATTTTTACTTTTGATGAAACTTTCTTGTAGTACAGTATATTTATTCATAAGTAACAAACAGTTTTTATTGAAAAGTAGTGCATCAAGCCCTTTAAATTTTTATACACATTAAAAGTAAAGAAATATACACTTACTTTGTTATTTATATAATATCTCCGTAAAAATTACAATATTAAGTTAATGAATATCAATTACATGGGAGATTTAATTACTATAATTATTATTTATTCATATATTATGCTTATAGTGGGACGGTGTGGCCGAGTCGGTACCTCTCGGTAAGAAAACATCCTTCTAGGGGGAGGTCGCTTTGGCGCTTAATAAACTAATAAAAGCAATAAATAAAATAAAAAATATATTATAATTATAAATCACCAAACCAATAATCAGGATATAATTAATAATATAGGAGTTAATTTTCTTTTTGGAATAATCCACCAATTTCTTAAAATTAAACATTCTCTACAGGTTTGCATTGAAGTGTTTCTTATGATACTGATTTTAATCACTGTCAGATCAGTTTCTATATATCATTTTTTAAAATATTTTATTTTTTGAAAACTTAAATATTTTCTTTTCATTTGATATAAATTTTATAATTATCTAATCACGGAGGGATTCAAAATAGCAACTTTTTACAAAAGTCAACTTTTTCAACTTAAGTTTTATAAATGTTCCAGTATTACTGCGTTCTTAAAACATATGTCAAATTATAGCTTATGTTACGTACTATAAATTAAAAAAAAAACATTTTCTGACGACCTACTTTCTATATACTTCTAAATCAAAAAACTACTAATTAGGAATAATAAAGAAAATAGGAATTAATTTGCTTTTGGAATTATTCACCAATTTCTTAAAATTAAACACTACAAATTTGCATCGAAGTGTTTCTTATGATAGTGATTTTGATCACTGTCAGACCATCTATACTTGTCCCACTACCCCATGACTCCACTGTGCTACCGTTTTTATGATGTATAATAGTTTCAATTACTAGTATAGATACACTTGTAATTTGTTTTAATAATTCAATTAGAAAGTATCTTCATAATATGGAAGGTCAAGTAGCATATGCTTTACAAAAAAAACTACATGCTTTTGAAAAAAGAAAAGTAAAAAAATATTTGAAAGGTAGACAAGGTACTGCAGTAGCTAAAACTTTTCATAAAGCTGGAATATATGTACCATATGATCGAAAAACAGATATTGGTTATAGACCCTTATCAGAATCAGACAGTAAGGTTCAAACATAGTATCATTTCTATATATCATTTTTAAAAAATATTTTGATTTAAAGGTGTATTACGTAAAATTTTAAAATCATATCGTGAAGCTTCTAAAAGTAAAAAAGTTGCAGAAATGGATAAATTACAACCCATAATAACTTATGCAAATATAGCCAATGATGAATGTGACTTTGGTACAGGACTAGAGTTAGGAATTGATATATTTTGTGATGGAAATTCTGAACTTCATCGTATTTGCAAACAATTGTTAGTAACTGTTTATAATCTACTTCGAAGACCACAATTTGCAACTATTATTCAAGTAATTTTTTTTTCTTATTTTCTTATAATTAAAGAAATATATAATTTTTTTTTTCTAGGCACACTTAGATAACAGAAGAAAAAATTCAAACTTGAGTATATTATAAAATTTTTGTTTTTTACCTGTGTAATTAAATTAAATAGTTTTCATCTTATATAAATGAAGAAAACCTTTTACACTTCTAAGAAAATAATATTTAGTTGTTTACATTGGTATCATAATTTATTTTTTATCTACAAATAAAAAAATTAAAATTTGTTTTATATTACAAGCTTTAAAAGATGAATGTAATTATTCAGTGGCAAAGTTATTTGTACATTAATTTTCATAAAGATTTTTATGGCCGAGTCGGTAACGCGGCAGTGCTTGACGCGCACTACCTCGGATTCAAAACTCGATCACGGGCAGCTTCATTTGCCGAACGAGAGATCAGTTCGGTAATCGGAGTCGCTATCCCACTCTCCGACAACGGACTAACCACCCGTCTCGGAGTATAAATCGTTAGGTAAACCTCCTCCTAGGAGGAGATCTCTATGGCCCTTAATAAACTAATAAAGCAATAAAAAAATATATTATACTTATAAATCAACGAACCACTAATAAGGATATATTAATAATATCTGTAATAAACCAAAAATAAAAAGAAAGAAAAGAAAGTAGAGAAAGCATAGATTAAATGGCGGTGAATAAATAATTAAATAAAATAAAAATAAATAAAGGGTTATAGTTATATTAATCATGTAGTTTTTATTATTAAATTATAATTAAAATAAAATGTCTACGTCTATGATATTTATTATATGATTTACACATTAATTGTTTCTCTTATTAATTATTAATTTTCCCATTTAATTTTTTATTAATGGTTTATTACGCAATAGATTGTTAAACATTCGAAAACAGATTAAATTGTACTTACCTTACGTCCTGTGTGATACAATAACATTTCAAATAATCCAACGTTTAATGGTATTAAACGCAATACATATACAATTTATACTATACGTCATATAGTCCATATAATTACTTACAAAAACTATTCCAAATTTTATTATATAAAATTTAATTACACAAAGTCTATGACTGATCTTACTTGTAAATGATTCTAAACACTCTATATTTTATTATAAATATAATTTTTATTTTTATTTACTTATTGGTTTTTTACGTCTGTTGAATAAGTATTTTTTTAGAGAGTATATTTTATTGAGAGATCGACACCAATATTTCTTAAATTTTCCTCTGCCCTGGCCAAAAGAAAATTCAGAAATATTTATATCTATGTCAAAAATTTATCAAGGCGGAATTGTGGTGGCCCAATGTGTCCCGGCACTAAAAAGTACCTTGAAAGGATACGGCAACAATAATCACCTAGACAAAATTTAAACATTGCAAATATACTCGTAAGTCTCTCTGCGTTGTCTGCCGGGGCGATGTTTGTAAAAACAAAGACATTAGCAACGAGACTAGCTACCCAATAAGTATAGAGTTGCAATACACTTAGCTAAATAAAATTAATATAAAGTAAATTTAAATTGAGAATATTGTGACCTTTAACTCTGTCTACCGGCGCGATGTTTGTTAAAACAAAGATATTAGCAGCGAGACTAGCTACCCAATAAGAAAAGCTCACAATAGATATTTATTATTAAATAAAATTTAGAGTTGGGTTGGATTTATTATTAAAGTAAAATAATTTAAAAAATTTAATATTTAAAATATTTTTGATATTTATTTCCACAATAATAACAGTAAAACATTATTATTTAATAAACAAATTAAATCAAATCAAAAGATTCACCAAAACAAAATTCACTTTAAAATTTCTAAGTGTCATTTATTTTTTTAAAAAAATATTCCAAAAGTCAAAATTAATTTAAAAAATCGACTAAGTCCCGGAGAATGAAATCTTGAGTAGAGTGTCATAGATTTTGTGTCTTTTAAAATCGCCGAAAAGAACTGGTTTAGATGGGGAAAAATGGCTTTTTATAGTCTGAAGGGGGTAGCCCAGCGATCTCTATCGTAATCCTGGATGCTAAGGCTTTGTATTCTAATAGGTTAATAAAAAGAGGGTCCAGCGTGTAAGCGTTACTTAATAATTTCTACAAGAGGGAGATTTTTTTGCATTATTAAAGGGTTATTTTGTATTTTAAATAAGAGAACCTTGTTTTGGTGACCTTGTATAATCATAATATGTGACATACATGTACAAATAATAACATCATATTATATGTTAATATTATATGTAATGATATTATATTTTAATAATATATTCTCTTTGGAATAATCCACCAATTTCTTAAAATTAAACACTATCTACAAATTTTCATTGAAGCATTTCTTATGATTGTGATTTTAATCACTGTCAGATATCATCTATACTTGTCCCATCTATACCTCGTCCATACTGTGCCACGACCCCACTGTGCTATATTTTTTATTTTCACTTTATACCTTTAAAATAATATTATGTGTATTGTGTTTTACTTTATCATATTTAATTTGACAAGTATTTATACCTACAACTGGTGGTACTATATTTAAAGTCGCATCTTCACCAACAACTGCATGAGAGAATGTGACTTGGCGGCTAAATGATAAGACAGAAAGAAAGATCCTATATTGGGTTATTTCGTGTCCAGCGGGTTAAAAATAATTTCATAAGCAAACTGGCCTCATTGTTTTCATATGTCTATATTTAAAAGATACAGAGCATTGATATTATTCATACAGATTATAAATTTCACACGTTGTCAGCTTCCCTATTAACTTCTATTTTTTTTTTAATTTGTCGTCGTTTTTAAAATATTGGTTCCGTATACTGAAAACGGTTGTTTCAATTTGTAGCTATAATACACTAAAATTATTGCTACTATTAGACCGCCGGGTTGAGTTATTTTTCTATTTCTTATTGTAAATAAATTGCATTTATAAAATGTATCATGTTCATTAGATCATCGATTTAGCCAATGTTGGTTATACATTATTCATATAATAAAAAGGCCCGAACGCGACTTTTCATTAATTTTTTTGTGGCTTTTGAGTTTAATATTTTTAATATTTTTTAGTTTTTTTTAAATTAATAATATTTTTAATATAGTTTTAATTTTACTTAATACATTATTCAAGTAATGCTTTTACAATAATATTGTAGTCATTCTGTCTTTCTGTTCTTTTTTAGCAGAAATTATTGTTATGTTTAATGGAAGTCTTGTATAATTAGTATACTAATTATGTATTTTAATCTATATTAATTAAATTTAAAGCTAGTCCAAGATAGTTTTTTAAATAAGATCAACAAATTATTATTATCATTTTATTGCATTAAAAAAAAATGTCTTATGTATTTTTTGTTTTAAAAACTTATGATTTAAGAATTTAGGACTCAATTATAGCTATTAACCGATCTATTCATAATATATTTAAAATTAAAGTTGCCCTGCCTAAAATTTTAATTTCATATAAGTATGTCAAACATCGGATCATTTTTATAATTAATAAAGTGATTAAAATAAAAAATGTAATATAATTTATACTATTTATTTAAACTACATGAGACAATAATACTTAGGCTTAAAAAAATCTGACATGCCTTAAAAAACACATTGAAAAAGTAAATATACGCCAAGACAAAATATAAAACCAAATATCTAACCATACAAATGCTATGACATAAAATTTATCCTAACTTTTATGTAAGATTACGCTGTACATAGAATAAAACGATTTTAAGTCCTATTTTACGCAGGACTTTATTTGATCTGTATTGATGCTAGTGACATAAAACTTTTACCAAATTTTAAAGGAGAAAATTATCTGTGAAAAATCGAAAATTTTGGTAACAATATAACTTGCAAAAAATTGTCCCGTGCAAAACAGTTTTTATGGAAAAAAATGAATATTTGTCTATCGATATGTATCGGTCCGTAGAGACATATCCAGTAATGGTACCCAAGTGCGTAGTTAACTAAGTATAAAATATCTGGTTTTGATCGTACTAGAGGGAGCAGTTAAAGAGTGATGGTAATCGGTTATCACCGATCAACAGGAAATTTGTTACGTTATAATTTTACCACAGAATTATGGTATATGATAATGGTATAAACATGGTAGACTTATCTACCTTGATATGTATTTTGTTTATATGATAAGGTATAGATAATATTAAATATTTTTCTGTAACAGTATTATAACAACTCAATGAACCTTGAAATAAACGTTAAGGTTTTTATGATACATCTAAGTAAATAGAAGTTTTTAAATAATTATTTTTTATATGTAAAATGAATATCTTCTACAAAATAGTTTTAAGTATGGAACCATAATTATTTAGTATGATGTATAATTTTTAATTTAGATAGTATAATTTAAAATTTTTACTTTTTTGTATTGCTATTATTTTAAAAATTTTGTGTTTTTATAAGAACGATTATCCTTTTCTACTTAACGAAAACTTACGATGGCTGTTAATAAATATAGAGAAGATTTAAAAGTAAATATGTATTGTATTAGAAATTACTAACTTAGCTAGATATTGTACCTTTCGACAATTATATAATTTTACAGTTAAGCATTTAAAAAATAATTTCATATCTTTATTTAAATGAAAAATTATATTTTATGTCACTCATGATTGGTGTGGTTAGCCTGGCCTAGTGGATAAAAAAAGTATATTTTGGTATATAGAGTCCCAGGTTTGATACCCAGGGTGCTAAAAAGATTCTTCTTGTAATTTTCTCATTGGTGGTGTCTGTTCTCTGATGCAAGCCAATCATAATATCCATCTTGTCTATCAATGGCTTAACCAAAAATCTTCTTTGACTTCCTAACATGTTAAAGAGCTACTACCCTCTGTAGCATGTTAAGTTTGGGAAATAGAAGGATATAAAACTGATTGCTTTTTTATATGTCACTTATAATTAACCATTATAACTCAATTTTCATTTTTTAATGTATAAAAATGTTGAGTGTGAACTTTTGACATCCCTTCAATAATCCCAAAATTGCAAACACGTCAGAAAGTAGGTTTTTTTTCATCAATAATTATACTAAATAGTTGGTTAACATTAAAATTTTGATTATTTTTGAAAGGTGATATTAAAAGAACCAAATTTATCAACCATAAGTGCTATTAAGGAAATCGTAAAAGAAAACAATTCTTTTAATCTCAGGTATTTATGAGTATAATTAATTTATTATCTTTATAATTTTTTTACTATTCTGAAACTGGCAAAAGATTATTATTCAATTTCAGTGATGCTGACAGACGATCAATATTAGATCAAGTTCTAAGGTGTTACGTCTTGGACTTGGTATTATCAAATCCAAAAAATGTATTTGATATTTGTAAAATGTGGACATCATTTACAATTGACCTTGTACGAAATGAAATGTGCACTGCTATAATGCCAGTTGTTATATTGTCTGATATGTTTGATGTTTCAACAATGGATTGTTGTGAAAAAATGTTTGATCATGTAGAATGTAATGTACATGTGCTAAAAGAGCATCAATTTTTTACTGCTTGTAAAAACAATCTTCTTCGTATGTGCAATGGTAATTTTTTAAATAATTAAAATGTAACATTCAGCATTAAGATGGTTATGCTTACAGTTTTATCTAATTCTTACAATAAAAAACTTAACAAATTTTTATATTCCTTAAAATAGTTTTTTCAGTAATAAAATAATTTCAATTAGATGACCTTTAACACTAGCGACTCAATTTCTCTTAAACTATTTATATTAAGAAAAATAATTTTTGGTATTTTCTGTCATATTTTTCTCTATTTATCAGTTATTAATTAATTTTTTTAATTTGTCTCTTTTACCTTTTAATGGTGTAAAGTTTATTTTTCTTAAATGACATATTTAACTAACTTATAAAATAAAAAATAATTTAATTGAGCAAATAAGTAGTTGATAAAAACTTTTAGACTAGTATTTTAGAAGTTTTTAATATTATAATAAATTTTAATAAAAGAATAAGACCAAGAAATGTTTAATGATAAGTTAATATGCTCATCAAATGAAGCAGTAACTCACTTTTTCACTTTTCAGGAGTTCAAAAATAAAATTTAATCACTGTTTTTATGCTATATGTTCAATTTTCTAAGTTTAATTCTAATCCAAACCAAATCCTCGATGTGTTTGATAAAAGTAATAATAAGAAGAGTAAAATCTAAATTCAAATACTTCATAATATCAAAATCAAATGTTTGAGTTACTGTCTTATTCTTTGTGCATAGAAGAATATTGTCATACTGCACCGTACCTCCAGTCTTAATTTATAATTGGAATAACTGCTGAAAAAATGGTCCCAATTGTTTTGAAAAATTGTTTTTAAACATTAATTTTTCTTTTTAGATCATTTTGTATTTTATAAGTTACTTTAAAATTTATTTATTATTTGTATATAATAATAGATAAATTAAATTTAGTATTTATAAAATAATACAGTTTTTGAGATGGTAACATAAAATATAAAACATTTTATCAAATACAATTGCTACTATATTTATTTAATAAGTACAATAAAGTATATATATTTAAGCAAATTATTATGATTAAGTAAATTTATATTACAAAAATTATTATTATTTTTAAATGTTGAGTTATTATCATTGTTTTTTTAACATATTATTTAAGAATATATTGTAATTTAACATTAGCCACTCAATTCCTCTAAAAATAATAATTTTTTTTTACATTTGTTTGTCTCAGTCTTATTCTTTCTCTCGCTTAGGTATAAAAATTTTAATATCTTCTGAAATACTGATCCAAAAGTTCATCGACTAGTCGTTATTTTAATTACACAATTTTCTAATTTATAAGCAAAGTATGTTGCTATTTGAAAAAATAAAGTTAAAACCTTTGTGAAGGATGAATATAAAAAATATTTAATGACTTAAAAAATGAAGATACTAAAAAATGATGTAACTAACAAAAGCCTAAAAATAATATTTTTTTAAGATAAATTGAGTGACTAGTGTTAAAATAATCACCCTGAATGTTACTAATACATAGTATTTACAATTTTTATTTACAGATCTTTTGCGGCGTTTATCTAGATCACGCAATACTGTTTTTTGTGGTCGTATTCTATTATTCTTAGCAAAATTTTTTCCATTTTCTGAAAGATCAGGTTTGTATCTAAATATATATTTAAAACATTTTGTTGTATTAATATAACTAAATTAATAAAAAAAATGTTGAGTTAAAGTTTTTTTATTCATGTTGGTGCAAAAATAAAAATTTTAAGTTATTTTGCTATTCTTGAAGAGGGTTCATTAATATTTATTTATATTTTATATCAGGTTTAAACATCGTAAGTGAGTTTAATTTAGAAAATGTTACAGAATATTTAAATGAAAGTAGCTTTGACCTAGTTGATGATAATGTAGCACCTGATTCAAGCATTGGTGATGAATATAAATCTGACATTGAAAAGTAAGTATTTTTATGTATGTAGGTACATACGAACATTTTTCAAACAATTAATTGGTGCTTATATTTCAATATATATATATATTATTTGGATTAATTTTTTTTCTTTATTCTTTCATCTGTATATGAGATATTACAAAAGTTATGTAGATAGATCCAACATAAAAGACAAAGGTATCCTATTTAGGAAAATTTTCTAACCTGGTAGGCCAGTATATGTCTGTTATTAAAATTATATTATTTAAAAGTGTGCATTAGTACATTCAATTTTCAATACATTTTTTTAAATATTACTTCTAATTATTAGAAATTATACAATGAGTTTATAATTTGTATTTATAAAATTGTATTTTATAGACAACAACTATTAAGGTCTTATATATAAATGTCTATCTAATCATTCATCTTCTTTTGTTGTTGTTTCTTGAGCTTTTTGAGTTCAAATATTCTGAATTTTTTGAAAAAGTAAAACCGCCTTAGCTTATAATGTTAACAGTTATAAAAAAAGAGAAGATTAGGCAAGTTTTTACTAAATATACACTAATATATGTATTTATTTTATTTTACTATATGTGAAATTTATTTTAATGTGTATAAGTTTTTTAAGTTTAATACCATAAATAATTTTAACAAATATTAATTAGAATTTTGTTATTATATAGAGTAAATGTTAACAAAAATCTTTATCTTAAATTTTGGTCACTGCAAGATTACTTCAGAAATCCAAATCAATGTTACAAACCTGAACATTGGAAATTATTTACAACAGTAAGTTATTTTAATTATTATTGTTATATTATCCTATGATAGTGATCTTCTTGAGAGTTCTATTGGTGGGAGAGACAGACTAATGCACACCTCACAGTTAAAAATTTCAAATATTACCATCTCCATGCTAGGCGTTAGTTGATATAGCTGCTATTGACAACCGGTTATTTAAATTTTACTAGAAATCCAGTGAAAAAATGAGGCACGTATGGAATAAAACCCATGACCCAAAAAGTCAGAGGCAAACCTAACCACTCAGCTAACACGCACTTATGATTCAAATCATAATACACTTCCATGTAGGTTAAATCTATTATAGTTAAGAGAAATATGATACTATGTCACTGTTTAAGATAAATTTATTTTTAATATTTAAATTTTTATGATTATTCATTCTTAGTATATTTCTTATTAATAAAATTTAAAATTTTGCTCAGTATTTGCTATACTATTTGTGGTAGTAACTAAAAAAAAATGTTTTTTGTTAAGAACAAATTATTATCAAAGCATTTAATTATATTTATTATTTTACTTTACTATGTTTATTATCTAATTATTATTTTTCTTTATAGCACACTGATTTTATTTTTTCAACTTTCCAAAGTCATAAATTAGAACATGTCAGTAGAATGGACAATGGAGATCAAGTTATTCATTATTTTCCAAAATATTTAACAAACCATAAACTTTTAGAGCTCCAATTAAGTGATGTTAACTTCAGGCGTTACATCCTTATACAATTTCTTTTACTATTTCAGTATTTAAATGCACCAGTAAAATTTAAACCGTAAATATTATACTACATTACAATGTTTTGCAATACATGTTGTCATACATTTTAATTATATGTATTTTATTATCAAATTTAAAGAGACAATTACAAGTTAAAATTTGATCAACAAGAATGGATTAAAAATGCTACAAATATTGTCTATGATCTTATTAATACAACACCTCCTGATGGAGTTAATTTTTCAGAAGTAGTAAAAAACATATTAAAAGTAAGCTATAATTTTCAAAATACTACTTAAAATTTAAAAAAATTAATTCAATGAATGTTCCATATATTTGTCACTGGAAAAATATAACATAATGTCTTATACTTTAAAAGAAAAAAAAGTTAGGACATCTAATGTTAAGTAGAGATTGAAAAATTATCAAATGTGTTAAAATTTCTAAACTCAGTTAGAAGAAAAGGTTATTTATTTATTTATTTAGTATGACACCCATATGGGTAATGAGTACAATTAAAATACATAAAATAATATAAACAGTGAATACAAAATACAAAAATAAAATTAATTTTGCTGAAAAAAACACATTTTAACTTAACTACCAACATTAAAATCAATATTTTTTATTTATTAAAAGACAATTCAATTATGATAAAATTATTATAATTATAATAAAAATATTTTATCATTGATAAATTATCATAAATAATTTAAATAGTTTCTAAGCTGAACAACTAAATAAACTAAATAATAATAAACTAAACTAAATAAAAACAACTTGTTTAGAGTATTTCACAAAAATATTATAGGACTTTTAAATGTTATTTTCTAAGTCATTTTTTTTTTCCAATTGATGTAAAATAAACTAGAGGTTCTATCAATGTATTACTTAATAATCCCTAGAACTTGTTTTATTATTTTAATCTAAAAATCAATCATTAATATTAGAATATTTGATTTAATTTAGAGAGAGGAACAATGGAATAAATGGAAAAATGATGGATGTCCAGAAGTCACCAAAAGACCCATATGTGACAACAATGATTCTGATATGCCTACTACTAAACGTAGGCCTCGCAGGAATTTGGGAGATGTTATAAAAAATATGACTGTTAATAATAAAGTTTTTCTGGGAGAGTATGTTCTAATATTTTTTAGGATTAAAATTAGAATGGTTTTTAATTTAAATAGTTTTTTTTTTTAAGTATACAGTATTTATTTATTAATTTATATTTGTATAACTTTTAGTCCCGAATTAACTAAATTGTGGAATTTCAAGCCTAATAATTTGGAAGCATGTAAAGGTCCTGAAAGAGATTTTTTACCATCATTTGATACATTTTTTCAGGAAGCATTTGAACAGTTGGATCCTGAACTTTGTATTGAAAGTCAATTCAGGTAAGATTTTAAGTTATACTAAAATAACAAAAACCAAAAATAGACACAAAAATCTTTTGATTTTCTAGTTAAAAACTATACTAAATTATTCATTTATTGAACAAATGTTATTTTAATATAAAATATTTTAAAGGATATACATCTAAATATTATATAAATTATAAAAGGGTAGCAATAAGTTAATGTTATAAACACTAAATTTAATTTCATTAAAAAATATCAAATATAGAACTGTTTTAATAATTTACTTAACTTTCTATAGAAAAGTGAATGATGGAAATTTCGGATGGCGTGCATTAAGACTTTTAGCACGTAAAAGTCCACATTTTTTTGCTCAAAGTAATAATCCTATTCATAAATTATCAGAATACTTAGAAAATATGATTAAAAAAACTATGAGTAAAGAAAAACAGATGGTATGTATATTTTCTGCAATTAAAGTATTTTTAGCTGTTTATTTTATAATAGTTTTATTATTTTTTTACTATTTATTCACCAACATTACTAAACTCTTATTCTTATGCTTAAAAAAGATGTAACATAATTGAACTCAAGACAGCATTTTTTATTATTATTAAACATTAATTTAGTATGTTTAATTTAGCAAATGTATGTTAATTTTTACTGTCAAAATGATAAAATTTTAATCTAATTCTTTATTTGTTATCTGAAAAAGGTAAAAATAAAATTATAAATTTGCATTATTTAAAACTGATTTTTGAGGTTTTTAATTTATTTGTATATTTTTACAGCCAGTAAATCAAGGATCTGATAAAAGAGTTTCCCCAAGTAAAGAATTAAAAAAAGAATCCTTAGCTGAATCTGAAGAAGTTGATATAACTGATTGTATAAATGATGAAAATGAAAATGAAAACAATGATGAAATAATAGAAGATAAAAATAAAATTCCAAAACACATCCTTAACCAAGTAGCAGAAAAAATAGGAGATAGATGGAATTTATTTGCTGAAAAAGTTGGCTATCAACCTGATGAGGTCATAATATTTTTTCATTATTTATAATAGTTTAAATAGTAGTACAAATAGTGGTAAATGTTAAGAGGGGCTTAGATTATAATCATAAGAAGATACTCATTAATTATTATTTTTAGTATAAAGGTAAATTATTTCTTCACATTCATTTTATACTAAATATAAACAATTTTTGTTTTTATATGAAACTAAAAAGGTATTGGTCTTGCAATGATTGAAACACAAATATTTGTTATATTAACTAGAAAGATTTTGTTATTATTTTGTCCATAAGCAATGTTAGACCAGGCCAAAAAAAATTGGATCCAGTTTTCAATGACTTGTGTTTTTTTTTTTTGTCATATTCTAGTGGAATCCAGCCTATTTAGGTTTTTCAATTATTATCAGAAAAAGGTCCCTAACATTAGATCTCTCTAAATATTTGACCATATGATTTAGTTCACTAACATGTTGAATTTCATTTAACCTAGATTCTTTTGGTTAGTTTTAAATAATTAAGATATGTATATTTCAATTGCAGCATCTTTTAAAACACAAAAAGTTACATAGAAATGATTACTATTATTTCTATTAAAATTATTTATTATGATAAAAATGTAAAAAAATAATGACTGATGAAATTGTGAACTTTTCACATGAATTTACTGTTAATTATAATTATATAATTTTCTAACCAATATGAAAATTTCTAATCAATATGAAAAATATGATTTTTTTAATTATTACAAAATTTTCTATTTAATGACATGAATTTCAAATTTGCAAGTTGAACAAAAAATGTTTAATAGTTTAATATTTTTAAATTATAATCTTTCATAAAAATCAACTTTAAAGAACCAAAAAAATAGATATGACTATTTTAATCAAAATTTCACACAGATTATTTTTAACATTAAAAATTAAATTCAATAAAAATTAAAAAAAAAAATTGTTTTTAATTATATTTTTTTATATTTAAGTACTTGCTTTTTACTAATTAGTAATAATCTCAAAAATTAAAGGTGATATATTTTACTTATATATCAAAGAATTTATAATCAGGAATAATGAAGGAAATAGAAGTTGATGTTGCTTTTAGAATAATTCACCAATTTATTAAAATTAAATGCTATCTACATATTTGCATAAAAAAATTTCTTATGATAGTGTTTTTAATAACAGTCAGATATCTATACTTATTTGAACAATGATATATCCTCACTGTGTCGCGACTTCACTATGCTACCGTGTTATTTCATAATTACTATAAAAAATTATTTAAAATTGAAATAAAAATATTTAATTTTTATTTATTATGTACACTATGACAGTACATCATATTAAATTATATTCATTACAAAATCCCACACTCTTATCTTAAAATAATACTTAAGTTTTGATATTTTATGTGTACAAATAAAAATCTGTGAATTCCTATTTTTGGTGATCACTTTAAAAAATTGGAACCTTCCCATTAAAAATGTATACCTACACCCATGACTATCAATATTAATTATATACATTTAACACAATTAAACAATTTTTTGGATGATTAGTTTTGTATAATTTTTGTAATAAATGGTATACATTAGTGATGGAAAATATTGAATAGTAATTATCAAACTATTCAATAGTTATCCACTATTTGAACTATTCGATAGTTATTCAAAAACTATTCGAATAGTTTTTAAAATATTTGATAGTTTATGCTAAAAATAAAATATTCGGTGGTATAAACGCAATTCAAATAGTTAATCGATAGTTTAAAATATTTGAAAATGCCCACCACTAATTTTTTTTTATTATTAATTGTATTCTATTTATAATCGTGTACCCTGAATAAATAGTTTTAAACAATCCTATTTAGATCGTTAATGTTATTGAATCAGCAAAACTATAAATCTGACTATAATTTTACATAAGACCAATATTTTAGAAAATTTAATTTTATATATTTTTTTTTACGAAACATTTTGTTGTAAAATAATTATTTCGAAAATTAAAAATGATTTATATTCAAAAAATAAATTTTAGCAAATTAATTTTGTATTATATTTTTTTGAGCAAGTAAAAATAATTTTAGAAAATTTTTGTAAATACCATTTTAGAAGAAAATATTAAAATTTATAATTTTTATTCTATACATTATTACACTAAGTGTGTTAGTTTTAAAAATAATAATCTAAAAATGAAAAATTACCTTTTTGAGGGAAATGTCAACCCCGATTCGGATCTGAAAGGGATAAGTTATCAAAATCAAATTTTACACAAATAACTTTCATATAATAAAAAACAAAATTGGTGAGTATGAAGATAGATCAATGAAAGTTAATAAAATAAGAGCCACCGTAATATATACCTTCGACTCACCCCAGTTCATTTTTTAAAATGCTATAACTTCTGAAATACTAGTCCAAAAATTTTTATCGATTAGTCATTTTATTAATAATATTATTATCTAACCTATAAGTTAGTTAATTATGTATATTGCCATTTGAAAAAATAAAGTTGATACTTTTACAAGGTATCAGGGATGAACCTAAAACGAATTTAATAATGAATTGACTCATATTTATCAGTTTTTACCAACGACTCACAAACTAAAAATAAATAAAATGGTAGTTTTTACTATTATTAATTGTATAATAATTTATTTTAAGTATTCGTTAATTATCTTCTTATTATAATTATGTGTACTTAATAAAAATTTTAGATAGAACTAATCGTAAATTTTTTAAAACTATCAAATACTATTCGATAGTTTAAAATATTTGAAAATGCCCATCACTAGTATACATACAATATTATAATGTATAAAAGTAATATTACTAATTATAAATATGCTGTAATCAAATATTATTACACAAAACTGAAGTTATTTAGGCTTTTTTTTTACTATTCATTTATAACCATTTTTTAATTTTTTTTACAGATTGAATTTGTAAAAAGTATTAGGACTACACCATTAGATCAAGCACTTTATTTGTTAGAAGTATGGATTGAAGATGTAGAAAACCCTAAACCAGAAGATCTTATTTATATTTTAGAAGAAATACAATTAATTGATGCAGCTAAAATATTAAAATCATTAAGTTCTTAAATCTATTATTTTAGTTGTTATGTTAATATTTAATTTAAATTTAAATATTTTTATAATACTATTGTAAACAATTACGTCCTCTTTTATGGAATAATTTTATTTAAAACAAAATATTAAAATAGTATTTCGCAAAATAATATTAATAATGTAATTTTCTTCAACCAATATTATTAGTAAAATCTTTTTATTTTTGAAGTATTGGGGAAAGCATGCATTTAAATTAATAGTCACTTTAAAACATGTCATAAGAAATCAAGATATAGAGGTTCATTGTACTTTCTTGTATTATGATAATTTATACATATTTAATACTTAAAATTGGAAAACAGTTAAGTTTTTAAAATTTTAATATTCTATTAGCTTCGATGCGAAGCTGTGAAGGTATTGGTTTTACTAAGATGTGTTTATTTTTATTTTATTTTTTTTTTTTTGTGTCTGTTACCACTTTTTCTCAGCTCTCACCGAACCGATTTCTTTCAATGATACATCAAAAGATCACAAATAGTATCTAGTCAAAGACATTACCCTCAAAAATTGAAAAAAAATCACTCGTTCCTCGTAAATGGGGGAAACCTCCAAAAAAATTACAAATTTAAAAAACGCTAATTTTTTAAATTTTTTAAAAATTTTTTACTTAAAATTGCCATAACTTTTTAAAAAATGAACAAATCAATATAATTTTTTTTTTATAGATGCATAATGTCTTTACCTATCATTTGGTATTTTTTTTTTATAAATCTGACTTTTTACCTGCCCATAGGGGGGGATTTAAAATGACAACTTTTTTACAAAAAATTAATTTTTTCAACTTAACTTTTGAAAGTGTTCCCGAAAGTCTGACACTTTTATATATATCTTAAATTAAAGCTAATGTAATATACTTTATTATGGTAAAAAAAATTTTGGACTTTATTTTATCTTCATGGTAAAAAGAGACATCAAAGTTGATAATAAAAATACGATTTTTGTAAAAAAATTCTTTTTTATATTTTTAACTTTATAATGTTATAACTTTTATTTTGGACTTTATTTTATCTTAACGGTGACAATGGCTACCGAATGCTATTATTGTGTGAAAATTCTTGATTTTATTTTTACATTTTTAACATTATAATGCTATAACTAATTGAAAAGTATATGGATCAACATAATTTTTTTTTGAGAAATAATATTTTTTAATATTCTCTTTTTCATTTGACATACTTTATCTTAATCAGGATATTAATAAGGAACTAGCAGATTATGTAGCTTTTGGAATAATTCACTAATTTTTTAAAATTAAACACTATCTAAAGATTTGCATCGAAGCGTTTTTTTAGCTTTGATGCGAAGTTAATTTTTGATAGTGATTTTAATCACTGTCAGATATTATTATACTTGATCCAACTATGCCGCGACCCTCCTGTGCTGGGATTTGTTTAATTTATTTCTTTGATACATTTTATTCATAGTTGCTTATATTTCTTTATACATTTTCAAATAAACTTGTAATTTTAAAGGCTAAACAAAAATTTACCTAAATCTATTCCTAAAAAAAAGTTTAAACTTGTAGTATATAATGTTTAATTTAAAAAAATATATACAATACATATTTACCATGAGTTTCAAAAAACTAGAAAAGTCGAGATATTTTAGAAATATAAGGGAAATAATAAAAATGGCAAATATATGATGATTTTGCTTGGAATTTCTTTAATTTGATTGTACATATCATATAGTTTGATTAAAATTCTTCACTTAAATTTATTAATTGTGATTAGGTAGAAAGATTGATAAAGAATTATTTTGGAAATGCAACTCATTGCTTATTTTTAAAATCAATATTGGTATATAAATAAAACTAATCTTAGATCATATGTATAAAGAGCATGTATAGATTTTTTTCTCGAAAAATCATAAGTAAGTCAAAAACTAACTTGAAAATTTTGTACTAATCAATTTTATAATTATATTAGTTATTATAGTCTACTTTGTTACAATATGAAAATAGATGATGAACAGTTTCCACCCTTTTTTTATCTCGATCTTAACATGATACAAAGGGTGGTAGCCTTCATTCACATGTTAGGGAGCTAAAGATGATTCTTGGTTGGCCTAATGATGGACGGGGCGGGTATTATGGCCGGTTTGTACCAGAGATCAGACACCACCAATGAGAAAATCACAAGAAAGATCTCATTGGCACCATGGGATCGAATTTGAGACGAAACATACGTTTCTATCCACTAAGTTAAGCCCATCCCTATAATATCAAAATAGATACTAGGTGATATTAAAAATAAACGTCAAGATCTATAATGTGCCTTGCACACCCACACCCAGAAAAATAGTTATTAAAATTAATGGAAAAAGTATATAAAACTAAGGAAAAACGGGTATGATTTGGAGCCTATGGAATCGATTCATTGAAATGACATCTTTTTAATCATTATATTAATGCTAAAGAATATTCATTGAAACAATTATTAATTTCTTTAATTTTATTCTTACAGTCCATAGTTTTAAATACTTGGTAATTAAACGGTTGGAAAATTATTAACATTAATTTAATGAAAATACATCCTATGGTATTTATTTTAAAGATATAATTCGTTGTAATAATTAACTCTAATCATAAATTTTACTTTTCTTGAAACATAAATATGACGAGTTGTAAGCATTGATTTTAAGCTATTATTATTAGGTCAGTTTTTAAAACAATTCTATTTCTTCATAAAAATAAAAATTTCTTTACATTACTTTAAGAACTACTTTACTTAGTAATAAAGTAAAAATCCATCTTCTAGATTATTTTTTTGCGAATAATAAAAACAAATGATTGGGTTATTTAAATTTAATAATTTTAACACTGCCATTTATTAAGTATATTTATTTTTAATGCAAAAAAATTAATTAATATAAATGATAAATACAAATTACAAATATTAATAGGGAATAAAATTTTATTTTAACATAGTTACATATTCCATTGGTTTCCATCAAATTAACATTATATTGAAACATCAAATATAAATAAAAATAATAATAAACATATATAAGTATATATATTAAAATGTAGAATTCAATAAATCTTTAAAAATGTTTTAATCTTATAACTGTTTTTTTATCATTAAGATGATATAAACAAATTGGTGGACCTGAGAAATCATTAATATCTTTTAATACATAGAGATCATCAGTATCAACATTAGAAACAACAAAGCTTACAAAATGTTTATTATAAGATAGTACATTTAATGTTATACATAAAAAAAGAACTTTCTCATCAATGTTTTTACAATACGTTTCTTATTTGTAACTGAATCTATTTCATAGAATCTGGAAGTTGGAACTAATAAAACATTCATTAGATCTAAAACTAAAAGATTTCTGGTTTCTGTAAAAAAAATTAATATATTATTATTCGATTAATTAAAAATTGTGAGAAATTGTCTTACCAATATCAGTTTTGTTTATTTCTATTAAACGTTTATGTAATAATTTGCTGTTTCCATCCTTTATTTTATTTATCATTAACGAAATTATCTTAATAATAAATTGATCCAAATTAACAAACAATGAATTTTCTTTTGAAGCATATATATATTCAAAATCAATATCAATCTAGAATTAAATTAATAAAAGAAGTAATTATGTAAATTAGTATCATTGAAAAATAAACCTAATTATAACTAAGGCATACACACACACTTTTTTTTACTTCTTTTATGGGAGACCACAATTTGTGTTTGCGTAATATTGTCAATGTATAATGATATTTTAAGTACAATATTCCCTTTGGTTTTTATATGATTTATAAAAAGCAGAATTAAAAAAAAAAATTAGAGAAATAATATTTTTTAAATCACTAAATTTAATGTAAAGTATAAAAGTCAATTAACCGATAATTACTAAAACGTCACACGTCTAAAATATATAAAAATAAATATGTGTACTTACCGATAAATATATTGAAGAAGCAATCACATTTTAACTCTCCTGGTACATCTAGTAGAGCTGATTCGTGTGAAAATTCTTCGGGAAAATGCATTATTTTCAATGACGACAGAATGTAAAATTATTTCTTCCATTTAGTTATAAAAACAATCACTAGACACTATACACTAACCAAAACGATGCCAAGTGTAGAATAATGTTGCGTATTGTCACCGTTATTTAATAGCACAATAATAACAGTTCCAAAAAATTTACCCAAATATGCTAAAAATAAACATGGATTTTATTATTTATCGTAAATGTCATTAAAATAATGACGGCAGGTTATTGAAATAATGAAAACTGCNATAAAGACGGCAGGGTATTGAATTAATGAAAACTGTCTAGTGGGGTTAGTAAACAAATAATTTCTCTACACTTCCGTTAAATCAAAGTTATAATTACTTTTAGTTTAAGTAAAACATTAATATTTTAATTCAATTTAGTTTTGATTTGAAGTAACATTTTTTACTTAAAAATAAATATAGTTTAAAAAAACTAAAAAACACGCTTTTAAAGCACATCGAACTAAAAAGTTAAAAATAATTTTTAAAATTAACTTAAAACAATAATGAACGAAAAATACTAGTATTATTGTGAAAAGAATCGTCGGGCGCTCAATATACAAAAAATATGGCATAAAGCACCCACGCTTTTCACAATAATACTAGTATTTTTCGTTCATTATTGTTTTAAGTTAATTTTAAAAATTATTTTTAACTTTTTAGTTCGATGTGCTTTAAAAGCGTGTTTTTTAGTTTTTTTAAACTATATTTATTTTT